GGCGCAACGGTGTTCCTTTTGCTTTCCCTTTTCCAACCAAAAAGGGGGTCAAGTACCGAAAAGGGACGTCAAAAGGAATCCTGGGGGCCTTGGGGTCGCCTGAATGAAACCGAAAAGAAACCCAAACCGAATTTGAGGGGTTCCAACCATTTGGTGGATTAATTTTGTTTAATGGGTGGGGATGTATCTACCCAACCACTGTTGAGGGTTTTCCAATCGTTGAACATCAAGCCTAGGACGTAGTCTTCAAGCGGGACCCGTTGTCCCTCTGCTTGGTCAACCAGTTCCCTGTGCTCAAATGAAGCTCGCTTAGACTTATCGTCTGCCCGGAAATGTGAACAAAAACCATCCGGAACACAACATCCTGGTGAAACACAACACGCAAACAAGGGCGCCACTGAGACCTCTCCGAGCGGCATGCTATGTGAATGGTTGAACTCCAACACCCAAACAGGTCTCATGTCAGTCCTTCGATAGGGCGTTGCTTTGGGGTAAACTAGGGAGCAGAAATGAGTGAGAGACCGCCAAGATAAATCACACGCAAGGATGGCAGTCGTTCAATAAGGGTTTCTACCATTCCATGTGGTAGGGTGCCATTATTTCTGCGACTCACTGCTGTCAAGGTGGGTTACTGGCAGTCTCAGGAACCTGTTGATGCCTTTTGGAGAGCAAAAAGGGGTTGAAGCAACTGCCTGCCGAGACGGGACTTGGACCCTAGATGACCAGTTTCACTAAGCGTGGCTACAGCAAATGACACAGCCAACCTGACAAGCTCCAATGAACAATAAGTCACATTGGGTCAGTAAATAAGTCTTGCCTTCAGTTGCTTGCACCACCAGGCAAGTATATACCAGCCAGGAGAACACTAATCCAGCAAACGTAGGATGCATGATTCCCGGCTTGGGACTTGGGCCAACTAATCAACCAGAAAAACAATTTGCCCCCCCTGCAGCCTTGGCCTCGCTCCAGTTTGAGTCCCCGGCCTTGTCGATTTGAAGCACCTGGTCGATCTGCGCCTGGCTCGCGAACCCGGAGTTGGCGAGACCCGCACACCACCTTCCCCCTCTCCGCCCCGAACGCCTTCCCCCCGAAAAGAAACACGACACATGTCATGTTCCTTGGCCCTGAGCACCCCAACAGTCTACCTCTTCCAGTAGCCATCAGGCCTTGGGGGTTTTGGCTTGCTATAAGATGCAATCTTCCATGTTTCGAACTACTCAGAAGTCTGAAGTGAGCTTGTCCGTGCGGATGGCTGGGCAAACAATGGGTTGCCCTCTCCTCTGGGACGCCCTGTTGATGGCAATTTGTGTCTCCCAGTTGCAGCCCCAAAAAGGGCACCGAAAGAAATACATGCATGTTCGAAGAGGACAATATATATATATAGAGATTATTTCCCTAAGAGCACAAGGGAACACCGGGTTGCTCCTCCATGTCCTCCATCTGTAGACTACCTTGTTGGTTTCACTTTCGCCTAACCAATGATGGTCCATGGCTGATACTCTGTCACCTGCAAAGAGACAAAGGGCGCTTGATGGCAAAGACGAGCTGGTCGGTGACCGCAGGGCACCCATCTTCAGGTTATGAAGGGCACAAGAGGTCAAGACGTTAAAGTCTGCCAAGAGCAGGACTTGATCTTTCACCAAAATGGAATAGTACTTGTCATGCCCTTGGCAAAACAACGATATCGCCATACAGGCACCTTACAATGAATGTATGTTCGCAAAACCCTTTTGAAGGGTGCCTATGAGAAAAACACGGCCATATTATAGATACTTCAAAATTTCGAGCTTCATCCTTCTAGCCAACATGCAAAACAAAGCACCATCCGTTGAATAAGGGGCCCTTGCGGGAGTCTACGCATGTTGCGGTAGGCGGAAGAGGGGAGTGTGGCATCTCTGTTGACGTGCTTTCAGATCGTACCGTTCACTAAATACGGATCAGAGTCAAATATTCGATTGTTGGTTGGGCTGCAAAAAGCAGAGGCAAATTTTCATGGGGGTGGGCATCCTTGCCCTGATTTAGCTGTTGCAAGATTCAATTTAAGGATGGCCCGTGGCAATATCACATTTTGGCTTACATGAAGTCTGAGCCCTTCCTCCTTTCACGTTATCGGCTCCTGTACGCTCTGATCCATCTTGAAACAAACAAACGACGCCTTCGTTGACAAACCATCCCTATTTGTGACGATTGTGAAAAGAATCTGGCAATTCCCAGCTGATGTGGAAAGGCTCATTTCAAACTCCCAACAATCTGGGGTCTGTGGATTGCCCAAATGAGGCTTGGTTGCAATATGAGCGTGACACGGGCTTCAGTCCTAAGAGACTCTTGGAGGCACTTGAGGCCTTGCCGTGCTAAGCCACGGACGGGTGTTACCGATGTGAATTATGTAGCTCTCCCTTTACCCCCAAAAGAAATCCAAGACTCTTTGTTTTAGCCCCCCCAACAAACAATGAACAAAACAACCTAAACAGCTACACACAGGCAACAACAGTGAAGGTGGTTCATGCGTTCTAAGCAGAAGTCGGTCCCAGCTCCCTAGCAACTAAGTGGAACGCTCAGCTTTTGGAGCTTCTTGGCTGCCGGGCGTTCGAGGCTTTGACCAGGTACGCTAGGTGCTCATCGTCGTTCCCGCCTGACAGTCCAAATGTTGGGCACCCGTTTTCGGCTTTGAGCTGCTTGAAGAGTATAAAACTGAATGGAAATCCAATCTTCCACGACTGGTCATAGATGACCTTTCCCAGAGAGTCCAAGTACCTCCTGAGGATAACTTTTAGGGAGTAAAACGAGGTCTAAGTACCTCCTTAGAAGGTACTTGGAGCCTCTGGGTTTTGGGAAAATAGACGGCTCTAATTGAAATGAAACAACCAGAGCCAGGGCCATCCATGCTCTACCAAGACAACCAAAAAGGACACCTAGGCTGGCCTTCCGAGCCTACATGATCATGGTGGAAGCCAGCCTTGCAACACTCAAGTGGACCCTCCGACCCACTCCACGCATTTCCCATGCGGCGCCCCTGCGCAACATTTTCTACGCGAGCAAATGGACTGGGAGGCCTCCACCACTCAAGGGACCCCCCAATTTTGGCCGTTGCCTCACTTCTCTTTGGGCAGGCCGTGCTGCTGCCGGCGTGCTTGCACCACTTCCCACTTCGTCACCCCCCAGAAACAAACCATTTTCTGCCAAAACACGGGGTGTTTCATTAGGACCACCGCCCAAGAACTTCAGCCGCTTCGACGGGCCCCGAAGGATACGGGCGAGGCTCCGTCCAGGTACCTGGAGCCTCTGGGGACTTTTTCATGAACCAATGACCCCAGCCTCGCTCCCTCGGCCTCGCGCGGACAGCTTTTCCGCTTTTTGCGGCGTTTTTTTTCCTATTTGAGCCAAGCGGCCAAAGTCCAGCTTCTTCTGCTCGCACTCCAGCCAAAGGGCGTAGAGGGAGAAGTGTCTCAAGGACTCCCATCGGTCCTGCGCAACTGAGCTTCCCTTTGATGGTTTGGAGCCCTGTGGTTTCGAGGTCATGGGGTGGGAACCCCTCAAATCCCTCTGAAAGAACCAGGGGTTGAGGTCAAGCCACCAATCCAAACCACCAATTACAGGCAACCTGATAAACTGCTCTACTTCCTCTTTGACATCACCCCACCAAAAGGAGACTCAAGTTCAACTGCCCCAAAAGGTGATATTTAACCAAGCCAAATGGGAAACATACTGCAGATAGACAAACTCCCACATGAATAAACCAGTTATTGCCTGGTGCAGAATTATGTCCATCCGCCGTAGGGTGCCTTGTTCCGCCGGGCTCAAAGAGGAAGCAACACAAAGGGAAGCCTCTCGTCTTAGGTGTTCCCCGCATTTGGAGGCAAAGCCCTTGAATATGGAATTGGAGCCTTTCCCCAATTCTAAATGGCTGTGGGTGAAAATCCAAATCGTACCCCCAGTGAACATCAACCACTCCCCACTAAGATAGACTACAATGGGTGGTGAATTCACCTAACCCAGAATGGTACCATTGGTTTTCAGCCACAGCCAAATGGCCCCTTGCGTAGAAAATGGTGGCTGTCTTTCCGGTATCTCCGTATCCCTACGCACGAAAAGCACGTGTTGTCGGGCTGCTCCGAGCCACAGAGGACAGTTAAACAGCTAAACACATCAACATGCAAGCGTTCAGCGGGGGGAGCCAAGGACAACCTTGGTTCTCGTTGGTGGCCTAGGTAGCCTTTTGGACAAATCGATATCAATGTGTCCAAACGAATCCCCCTGTTAAGCCCGTTGTCACTGACAAAACAGTATCACACGTAGAGCGGCCGAACTTTGACAAAGTGCACACACGTTTAATTTCAGCTCCAGAACAAATTCCGATTCGTCATTCTAGGCCAGCTTCGTTCGACGGGCAATGGATTGAAGCAAAACGTTCCGCGGTGAACGGGCAAGCAGGCGCATCCCCAGGCGGCAATTGGCTCACGCGCAAAGCTGCACCCGAGCTGCGCCAAGTTGTGCCCAAGCTGCGCGCCGCTCTCGCCGAACATATTGAAATCTAACGTCGCAAGTGCAGACTCACAGTATGATAGCCCAACGGCGACGCCGCTTTTGTCACACCAACATGCTCACTATCAGCTAGGCGCCAGGCGCACACGGAAAGTAACTTGCTGGTGCTCAGGTAGGGAATGACGCTTCCGGCTGCTGGGAATTAACCGGTTTTGGGGATTCCCTGAACGGAAACCACAAGGGATGCCTTACTGGGGTCATTCCAACTCATTCCCTGGTGAGAACCAGCAAGGGGTAAGGATGCTTCCCTTGAGATCTTGGCTTCGATTCTTGTTGGTGCTTCCTTTCTCTTGGGCGCTTGAGTCCGTGGTTGGTGTTCCTCTGTCTAAAATGATCTCCACGACCCCCAAGCCGAAGCTACCCGCAGGCAGTTCACGGGATATTTACCGCAACTACATAGCCACCGCAGCGGGGGAGGGCTGGGATATCTTCCACTCAACCCCCCTTGAAATGTAGCTTCAGTTTGGGGATGAGCCTCTCCTAGGCTCGCTCAAATTTCCCCGGGCCTTGATGATGCGGAGCGCCGGCAGCATGGGATCGCAGAGCTTCCCTTCCGTGGCCTCCGTCTCCGCGACCCCGTTCGACCCAACTCGGAGGGAGCCTTCGCTTCTCCGAAAAAATGTTTCCCCGGCCAAACTAAGCCCCGCCAAGCTTGGCTTGATTCTGCCTCATGCTTTTTTTCTTTTTTATTAAAGGATAAACCCGAAAAAAAAAGCCAAAGGCACTCGAGACTTCAGCTTCAAGGCCAGGGTTCGCTGCGTAGGCGTTTCCGGGAAGGATCCAAACCCGCGAGCTTTCTTCAAGGCTGGTCGTGAAGGAATCACATCTTCCGTGGGTTGGTCTTCCATTCTGCTTCTTGGTCTTTTCATGTGTTACTTGATTGTTCAAAAAGGCTTCTCTTCTTGGTTGTTGCTCTTCTTAGGCTTTCAGCTGCTTGCGTTTCTGGGGGCGTTTTGGTTCTCCGGGGTTCAGGGCGTTGAGTTCGAAACTGTTTCCGGGCCTTGAGCAGCTCCACCTGGCTGTCCAGGAGCTGCAACTTGCACTCCAGGCACTCCACCAGCGTCGCCTGCAGCATGGGGATCCAGCGGATCCGAAGTCGGACTTTGAGCTTCGGGGAGGGGTGGGAGGGGTGGGGTGGGGTGGGGGGGGGGCTGGGGGGGGTGAGGGGTGGGGGTGAGGGGTGGGGGGGTGAGGGGTGGGGGGGGTGAGGGGTGGGGGGGGTGAGGGGTGGGGGGGGGGGGTTGTTGCGGAGGTGGAGTTGGGGGGAGGTGGTGGAGTTGGGCTCTTTGGCAGGTTTGGCAGGGTTGGCGTGGCGCTCTAACTTGCCGACCTCCATGGGCGAGCTCTTTCTCCTCAGTCGCCACAAGAATCGCCCGCGGCAGTTCCCTTTGGGCGCTCCTTTCAAAGCGCCGTCCAACCACAAGCAAACTATACCGAAACCCCAGAGAAGGAGGACTCTTTTGGTTTCCCTTGAGAAACACAAAAATGCAAGAGGGCACCGAAAACAGGCTTGTTCTTGCATATGGCTGTGGGTCAAAACCAATGGTACCGCATTGGGGTAGGTACACCACCCATTTTAGAACCTATTTTAGTGGGGATTGGGATGTTCACTGGAGGTACCCGATTTTGACCAATGGCCATATTGGAATGACCCTTTGTCAAACCATTGGCCGGCCTCGATTTGGCTGAAGCCCATTCCGATTGACTTGTTGACCTTAAACATGAGAACCCCGCCCCTATAGGAAACCGGAAGCCCTTGAGAAACATGCACTTCACCGTAGCGACGGTACGAAAACACAAATCAGAGGGTGTCCACTACCCCCAAAACTTTGACCGAAGGCGAAGTAGGGGTACACAACGTGCATTTTCATAGGGAACGTCCTTACCATTCCTTTAGTTTCTTTCCTCTTGCCGTTTAAAAGCTAAGGGCGTTTCAAGTCCTCACATGTTTGGACGGCCTTTGAGGTGGTTGATGGACAGTCATCCATCCCAAATCATGTCCACAGGATCCCTAATTAAAAACAGCCATGCCACGGGAAAAAGGCACATTCTCTGCGTGTTGGTCGTCTCCACTGGGCCGCCTTTGGTTGGTGGGTCTGTCAACCTACATGGATGTTTTACAGGCTTTATCATCCTGTTTATGAACCCCCGCAACGGCCCACTCCTTTTTTGGTAGTTGATTTTAACAAGAAACCCCTCCCAAAAAAGGAACAACAGGGCAAACCCTGTTTACCCACACCCCGTTGATCTTAAGGGAAACCCCTGCAAAAAATTGGGAAAAAAAGGCACCACTGGGTTTCTGGGTGACTTGTTTTGTGACATAGGCCAAGCACCCTCGAATCCCTCCGCTCCGCGGGCAAACGCGAGGAGCGCGAGGCCTGCCTTCAGCTCGCGGCTGGGCACGTCCACTGGCTGGATGGTCTTTACCGCGTCAAGCATCTGCTGCAGCTCCTACGGTTTTCGGTTGGCGGTTGGACATGCTGGAGGCTTTTTTCGCGTTTTTGGGGCAGCCCCTAAGCAAGTCGGTGCTTGAGTTGCTTGAGATGTTGCGGAGGCTTTACTTCGCAGACAGAACACAGCGACCGCATGCCAGCTGCAACCAGTTGCCGCCTCGCAGAAAAATCAAGGCGCTCTGTTTGGATCAAGAGGCTTTCCTTGCTCCATCCCTTTGCATCAGACACTGCCTCCCACTAGCACCTGAAAAGAAATCCTCCTGCAGGAACCTGCCAGTTGCCATAGTGGTTTGTGAAAGGGAAGGTAGCTCTGTGGGGCAAAAGCCGTCTTCTGTCAGAAATTCCGGGTACGCTTTCAGGATGGTGCTAGAGGTGCTGAGAGAGCGCCAAATTAGAGCGGAAAAAACATCAGAGCGGAAAAAGAGCAACTCAAAAGCAGTAGTAGTACTAGTAGTGATAAAAGTAGTAGTAGTAGTAGTAGTAGTAGTAGTAGTAGTAGTAGTAGTAGTAGTAGTAGTAGTAGTAGTAGTAGTAGTAGTGGTAGTAGTAGTAGTGGTAGTGGTAGTAGTAAGTAGTAGTAGCACTGGTAAAAATACTAGAAATAGTATAGCTGTAGTAGTAGTAGTAGTAGTAGCAGTACTAGTAGTAGTCCTAGTCGTAGTGCTAGTAGTAGTGCTAGTAGTACTAGTAGTAATATGAGAAGTAGGAGTAGTTGTAGTAGTAGTAGTAGTAGTAGTAATAGTAATAGTAATAGTACCAGTAGTACTGGTACTAATAGCTGTAGTAGTAGCAATAAATATTACTAGTAGTAGTAGTAGTAGTAGTAGTAGTAGTAGTAGTAGTAGTAGTAGTAGTAGTACTAGTAACAGTACTAGTAATAGTACTAGTAAAAATATAGCAGTCGTAGTAGTACTAGAGTAGTAGTACTTATAGTTGTAGTAGTACTAGAAGTAGCACTAGTAATAGTACTAATAATGATATAGCAGTAGTAGTAGCACTAGTAGTAGTAGTAGTAGTAGTAGTAGTAGTAGTTGTAGTAGTAGTAGTAGTAGTAGTAGTAGTAGTAGTAGTAGTAGTAGTACTAGTAGTAGTAGTAGCAGTACTAGCAGTAGCAGCTCTTAGGATTCATCTTTTCTGCTCTTCGTCTCTAATTTTCCGTTCTTAGCTTGAACACTTTGCCTAAGATGGCTTGGACAAAAGGTGGCGTGATGTCGCTGCGCATTCCACCAGTTGTTTCCTCTCTTGTAGTGCGCGGTTCCACCATTTGTTTTTTCCCTGGATCGCCAGTCGCCGTTTTTCTCCACGCACTTTACCCCAACCAGCAACAGTGACTGAACAGAACAGCAACTTGGCGATCTAGGTCTCTCTTTTCCCCACTTCTGGCTGAATCAGGTGGCTATGGGTCAACAATGCGTACCCAAAATGAAACCCTGATAAATGGAACCAAAGACTAAAACCCAGCGGTTCATAGCCTGGTGGTTTCATTTTCACCCATATTCAGGTGGCCTCCCACGGGCGTTGCCGTCTCCTTGGTGTCTGCAATGATTCGACGTATGAGCTCGTTGGCGTTGGAGCTAAAATCCTTCACGGAGTACCTGAGCTGAAGGCTGGAACCTCCGCTTATCTCGGAACAAATGGGCATGGGCTAAAATAGGGACCCCCCCCTAAAATGGCGTGTCACCACCCAGATTGACATGTTCGCTAGGGGTACTTTAGCTTCTTCTCTCCCAGCAAAATGGGCACTTGTACTATTGGCAGGCTGTCCGTAACTCACCACTCATCCTATTAGCAAATCCTCTGAGAAGGTGTCCAAACCAATCGGCCCCTCAAACACTCTTTTCTCCCAGCAAAACAGGCACTTATGCCTTCAGTTGGAGATGCGTCCTATTGGCAGGCTGTCTTTAACTCACCGTCGGCCCCTCCAAAACCCGCTTAAAAGTCCCTACGGTTTCACGCGACTAAAACGGGGTGTCCAACTCTGGATAAGCCTGGGATAAACCGAGGCTTAGCCGATCATGAGCCTGCGACAAGCAGATCAACACAACCCCTCACTTCCTGAGTGGACTGGCCAACACAAGTCCAGACTTTATGCTTCCCCCTAAAATGCCCCAAACCCAAAAAGTGAACACCACCACCACCGCCACCATCACCACCACGGTCATCATCATCATCATCATCATCATCATCATCATCATCATCATCATCATCATCATCATCATCTGGATTCCACCACTTGGATCCCTCCTTGCGTTTTAATCACAGCGCTTCCCTCCCGAAAATCCGAGCGCCCGGGCGCCACGATGGCCGAGGCCTTGGCCTTCGCGTCCTTCAGCTGCCGCGCCGCGATGGTGCGCTGCACCTGGCGACGCGTCCCAGGCATCCGACTCGAGCCACGAGCCACGAGCCGCATTTAGCGAAGCGAAGGGCGACGAATCCGCGTGGCCTCCCTTTGCTTTTTCAAGGAAGGACCCACACCGGCAAAATACACCCAAGCCTCCGTTTGCTTTTGCGCCCCCTGGAAAAAATAACCATCCTGGAGAACATCAAAATAGCCCCCCCCCCAAAATGGAGCCATATGGTATGCCCCATGGCTATATTTCAATAGTGACAGATTTCCTCTAAAACCAACAGGGGAAATACAACATATTATTGAGCAAATGGAAGCTTGGATGGACTGTTTGTTGGCAATGGTGAAATGCCTTTGTGCTGCTGTGTGTTTTGGTACAAATGGTACAATGGTACCGTGGACGGTTGCGAAATCCGCTTCCCGCACCACCGTTCAGAAACCCTATGAGTGGATTCCCCAACGCAAATGCCAAGAATCAATGGCTTCAACCACGGTTTCAAAGTGGTGCAGGATTTCGTCCATCCACAGAATGACTTACCGTGACCCGCATCGAGGGGACCCCCTCGATTTTCCCACCCAAACTTGCGCTTGGCTTTCATCCTTTGCTTTCGACCCAAAACAATTTCTTGGTTGACGTTGGAAGGGGAGCAACAGTTTAAACTTTAGCAGTTAGGTGGTTGGATTTCAACCACTCAACCACAATAAGCAATGATGTAAAATGTGTCCCAACAACAACCATGACTTCCAAGAGTGATTACCACGCCAAAGAGCTCCAGCACAACAACATCGAGGGGCCGGGCCCCACGCCCCAACTGGGCTCCTTTGGTTATCTCTTAAACCCAAACAAAAAAATCCTCGAAACAAGACACACTGGGGCTCATTTGTTTTCAGAGCTGCGGCAAAACGCAGGTTTTCTTTGGTTCCATTGGCCAGGGCGTCATTTTGGTCTCCATTTTTTTGAGCAGCCAACTAGGTGTGGACAAGTCTTCGCCGTAGCTTGTCAGGATCTGCGATGCCTCTTCGTGGGGACACCAAGCAAAAAGGGAACCAGGGGTTCAAGTGGTCCTCGTGGTGATCTCTAGATGCGCGACATCAAGTTCACAGAGGCCACTCTGGCGGCGCCATTCAGAAGTAACACGCCAATGTCAGCTTTGAGGCTTGCGCTTGCCAGAGCTAGGCGCAAACGTGGTCTGCAGACTGCGCAGTTCAGGTTTACGCAGGAGAAATTGCACTGACCAGCTCTGGTGTACTGCTCCTTACTGTATCCGAGCCAGGAGTACAACAACATTGCACAGGGCTTTTGAATGCCACAACCATCCGATTGGGGCAATGGAAACTATCAAGGGACCCTCGGGCCAGGACCACCCCCTTTCTTGAGCAACAATGTTAACCCCGGATTAATAAACCCCTGGTTGATGAATAGGGGGGTGTCCCCTGAGGGAACACCCCCCCTAATAATGGGACGGGTTTACGAATCCTGGGTCAACATTATCCAGTTCTTTGGGTGGTTTGCGAGTCCAGCTACCCAAAGCCATGTCCAATCAATCTCTTCAGAGCACCAGCCTTCTCTCTGCTTGGGAGTGTACAGAACTGGCCTTCACTTAAGGTTTTCTCAGGCATGTGTAGCGGCAATGCGGTCCTTTTGTTGGAACACATTGATGCATCCTTGTTTGAGGCTGGCCTTTTTTTGGGTTGTTTTGAAGGGAAACCGGAAACCGGGCCCCGGGCCCCTTTAGCGGGTTCGCCCACTTGGAGATCGGCAAATTCGCCGACTCTGAAGGTTTGATCCTCATGTGTTAAGCAATACCTCTGAACATTGAACAAACAGTCTTCCTAAAAAAAAGAGCCCAGATTACAACCCCCATCGATTTGGTAGTACTATAAAAATGGGGAGGTGTGGCCGGTTTCGCTTTAAGCAAGACCATCTAAAGGCAATCGGCTGAGGGCCCAAGACTCTCAAGCCCGCTCGCCTTTTCTCTTCTTAAGCGACACTCGTCGATGAACATGCACAGGATAAAGCGCACGTTCCTGGCCGGTTGCGATTGCATCACCCAGTCTGGGGAAATGAATTTGGAGTCTCCCGGATCCTTAGACAAAGTCACAACCTCAAAATCATGGGAGCCCAGTGTAAAGGGTTTAGCGGATTCAAGGACGCCTTCATTCCCCTGAAACTTTCCAAGGAACCCCCTGTGGCTCTGGTGGGCAAACCCTGTTTGCATTCCAAGGACGATTTGCCGGGCATTGCCGAAGTTGATGATTGAACCCCCCAAAAGGGGAAATGTAGGGATCCCCGCTGAAGGCATAGGTTCTTTCTCCCCCAGCCACTTCCTGCCGAATTCTCACATCCGTTGGATTACCTAACGGGTGCAAAGGGTGTGTCTCAAACTAGGGGACCCGCCCAAACCGGAATCCGGTTTTCCCTTTGGTTTCCTTTTTGTGTGAAAAAAAACACGCACGCACGCCAAGAAGGGTACCAACTCAAACAAAAACGAGCCACCTACTTGTTTCTACCAAAACGACCAAAAAAGGACACCTATGCCCCCTGGGCTCGTAGGAAACCTTAACTAGGTCCTCCAGTAGAGAGCTTAGAATAAGTTGGTACCCACTTTTTCTGTAGTCTATTTTAGTAGGGAAACCGAATCTCCCCCCAAACAAGAATCGGTAAAAGGGCACCTAGCTGGGGGACCTAGTTAAGGCACCCGCGACCCGCGTGCGAAGCCGCGCATCCGCCTCGTGCCGGGCATCTGCTGCGTGCGCCGCAGCTCCGTCACCGCCGCCGTGACCAGCGCGTCCAGGTGCCTCACGTCGATCCGACCGCAAGCAGCGCGAAGTCAGAGATGTGGCCATGGATTCTTCATAAAAGGCTTCCAAAAAGGGGCATCCCTGTTTTTAACGACCCTGATATGTGGCCATGGGTCAAAGCCCCGGTTAGCCCCCAGTGAACATCCCAATCCAACCATTAAAATAGGTTCTAAAATGGGTGGTGAATTCACCAACCCCCCAAAATGGTAGCATTGGTTTTGAACCATGACCATGTGCCATGCCTAGATCCAACGAACATGCGCAGTCATAGTGTGCTTCGACATGCATGGCTTAGAGCGAGCTCAACATGAACGGCTTAGATAGAGTAATTGCATCATGCCTGGCCCAAACATGCCTAATTGAGATAGAGCGGCTTAACACGAACGGTGATGTATCATGCCAGGTCTAGATATCATGACTTACCATGCCTGGTCGTGATGGAGCGATTGCAAATGCCTGGTCTATACTTATAGAGTGATTTGACGTGCCTGGTTCAGACAGAACGACTTATGTCTAGATAAAGTGATTCATTATGCCTGGTCTAGACAGAGTTGTTGACCGCGCCTGGTCTAGATAGAGTGATTGAACATGCCTGGTCTAGACAGACTGGCTTGTCATGCCTGGTTTTGATATTTTAACATGCCTGGTCCAGATGAAATGCTTAACAAATTCGTAGGTAACTCTACAAAACTGCAACGGACCCAAGTGTTGGACGGTTTCAAAGGGGCACTCGGGAAAAACCATAGTGGGTGCTCCTAACTTCAAAGAAGACCCAGCGCATGTGTCTGTGTGTCTCAAGATCAGTGGAACCCCCATCCCCCCAAATGCGTCTTCCAACGTTGGGAACCCCAAAAAAGCTGTTTCCTTTGGTTGCCCTTTAAGCCATCCCCAAGAGCAGTACCACCAGAAATGACGTAAATCTCTACCCCAATGGCCACACTCGCAGCTATGCCAACAAACATGTGGCCATGGGTCAAAACCCCGGTTAGCCCCCAGTGAACATCCCAATTCAACCACTAAAATAGACTCAAATGGGTGGCTAATTAGTTTTGACCCACTGCCATGTGTTTTTCGGATTCAGAACATGTTTATTTCTAATATCATCCAACACACAGATCTGGAAGACCCGGAAAAAAGAAAAAAAACACAACAACAACAACAAAAAAAAAAACGCAAGGCGCTCCTTCGGCCCATTTGCCCCGCGCCTCTCGGCGCGATGTAGCCGTTCGGGTTCCACCTGTGACCCAGCACCCCCAACTGCTTTTTGCCATGTGGGTATGGAACAAAATTACACCACGAGGACAAAAGGTTTTAGTCCTTGTTTCCATTTACCAGGGTAAGTCATTTTGGGTACCCATTTTTGACCCACGCCCATGTCAAACCCAAGTGTGCAAAAAGCAGTGCTTGGGGGGATGCTGGAAGCAGAATTATGATACGCTTTGACGCTTTGATTTCTTGTGTTTCGCTTTTTTTTTGGGGGGGGGGGAAGAAGGTCGTCTAAACAGGACACGGGCCCCTTTTAGGTCAAGCTAAGCTTTTTGCGGCTGAAGGCTTGTGACCCTCAGGCTGACAGAGTATCCCAGGACGAGATGCGAACAAGCCAAGAAGAGAGCACTTGCTCGCATGAAGTAAACATGAGACACACACACACACAGGGACGAAGCGCTTGCTCCCAAGCTGACTTAAACATTGGGGGGGGGCAGCGCACATTGTTGGGGAGTTCTCAAACTGAATGGCTTGCTTCCCTTTAGCTTCTTATGCCAACCAACAAGGGGTTCGGATCCAATTCTGAGAAACACTCGTGTGTCAGCCTTGTGTTTTGCACATGGCCCTGGAGCACTCTGCCCGAAGCATGACGAGACAGTTTGGTCCTTCTGAGAGAATGACAACCAAGAGTGGGAGGGGAGGGAAAATGGGTGGCTCTGAATAGGATGGGTGAAGAGAACGGGAAGTCGATCCTGAGATGAAAAGCCCTCTGCAGGTTTCAACCTTGTCCAAACCCCTTTGCAGGAGACATAAACTGCCAAACAACTCTAAACACAAACTGACGAAAACGCCACTCGAGCCGGGAAAACGCAACAGAGGGATGTCTACGGGCTTGTCTTCTGGAGGCCACGCAACTTGGGGCTTGTCTTTTTGAGGACACCCAACGGGAAACCACCCGTTTCTGGGGTCCCCGATTTTGCATACCTCTATATATATATAGGTATAATATGTGTATATATATATATGTTAGTATCTTATATATATATAGGTATACCATATATAATATGTGCATGTGCCAAGCGCCTCCACCGGAAGGACTTGAATCTCCAGAAGGCACAATGTTTCTCTTCGCCCGCCTTATCCAAACTCCAAGGATCCCCAAAAAAAAAGCCAAACGGATCGATCCGATCCCCCTGCGGATCGATCCAGGCGTTTCGCGCGTCTTGCGGGTGGACAAAAACCACCAAGGCAGCGGATTGAAAATAACAAAAAGGTCAGCCTTGACCACCCAGAAGGAAAGGGGGGCACCTTTCTTGGTGGTTTTTTTGTCCTTTTTCCCGGGAACCCTCCATCCTTCTTCTTCCGAGTTGCCGCTCCGCGGTGAACCCCCTCCGAAACCAAGGTTTCATCCAGCCTCTCTTGCTTCTTTGCTTTTCAAGCGAGGCCTACACAAAAGGAACCTCGGTTGCTTTCCGCTCCCCTAAAAGTGAGAAAAACGTCTAGTGGTTTCATATGGAAAACCCAGTTGGCAAAAAGGTTTAAAGTCCTAACATCCCTTGGCAAAATGCACCACCCTCCGGACAGCTTTGAGGGCGCAAAACCCCCGGACAAAAGGAACACCAGAAGCACCGCCACCGAAAATCTTTCCGCTCCGATCTCTCCGCGCCTCCAGATCCTCGGCGATTCATTTTTTTCCGCGCTTCCATTTGAAGGAGGGGGGGGGGCGGGCGCAACAACGCGCGTGGCGTGTGACATTCATCCATGGGGTGGTGTTGTTTTTTCTTTGTGTTTTGTTTCTTTTCTGTAAGTAGGATTCAAATAGGATTGTGAGGGCTTGAAATCCATGTTGGGTGAAATGAAATAGGATTCAGTCCCCTGTTTATCACTTTGGGGAGTTCCGCTCGGCCACTCACCGAATGAGTCCCCAAAAAAACAAAACGAGCTTCCACAACCCATGGCGTAACGCGGGCAGCTCAGAACTTGCCACATGGTGGCATGTGTGTCCCAGACCGACGATTTTTTGTTTTTTTTTAGTGGTTCTCTTCTGCAGTTGTATTGAAAGGAAGCCCCCTGCAAAAGAGGTGGAAACGGGTCACAACTGGAGGTCTGGGTTGTGCGAAATAGCCCAGTCGGTGATACCGAAGTGGGAGTCCCACCCCTATGACAAGACACAGAACAAATAACATCCTGTGGTGTCACCACAGCCCATTACTGGTGGCATTTCCCATTAAAACAACCCTACAAAGGTGGACCACATTCTGCTTCCTCAGCCTGAGCGTGGGAGACGTTTACTGAGATGGGCTTCTCTCAAAATAGGAGGGGCACCCAAGAAAGGTTGGCATCCTCTTGGTTTACTTTAAACCCAAAAAAAAAAATCCACATAGACTGTTTCCCCCAATAGAGGTCCTCCGGATTGAACCGGATAAACGTTGACGAATGTGTGCTGTGGCCACCATATTCATCCCATGAACATGGAACCCGACGGGTTCCTAGAAAACAAGTGAGTCACAATCAAAACCTGGTACAAAAATGGTGAACACAGAACCATGCTTCAAGAATTAGAAAAACGGAATTCCGCAACTATTTCCGGCTGGGACTGCCCCTTACTAACCTTCATCTACCCGGGTTTTGATTGTGGCTCAAGTCCCCCTCTTTAGAGGTGGCTTGCGGTGGGTTCCATATTTAGTCTGTGGGAGGGTAAGTTATAAGTTGTCCAACCATGGGACGCAATGTTTACAGAGCCACCTTTTCTAAATGCACTCACACATACACCCTCCCTTTACGTGAATCGAAGATTAGAGAGCGAATATCCTTAAACCTCAGTTGGTCCCGTCGAGAACCGAAGGCCCTCTCTTGCTGCGGAGGCACTTTAGCGTCACAAAGGAGGCTTGCAGAATAGCACCGCACAACTGGAGTATGCAGTATGCCTAAAATGATGTTTGGTCCTTGTGATCCGTGGACCTTTGTGTTCCTTAGGATCTATCCACACCAACACCGCCTCAGCCGACTCTACGTGTCAAACAGATTTGGCTCATCGTCTTGACACCGCACTGTGCCAGGAAACTCTATTGACATTCAAACAAACCAATCCTGTGGGATTCCATCAGAAATGGGTGGCTCGTCTTTTTTGGGACTTCGGTGTTCCTTTGGTTTCCCTTAAACAAAACAAAATGGCGGGGTACCCTCAAAAGACGACCCAAACTGCGGAAGAGCTAAGCCGCCGACGTCCTGTATTGTCGCTCCCACTTGGTTGGGATTCTGATTGGCCTGGCATGCCAGCCGATTGCCCCGAGTGCCCTGAGTGCGAGCGGGGGTGCGAGTCCCGCCGCGTGGGACACAACCAGCCCTAAACCCCTCCCATGCAGACTTACATAGAATTCCCTGAACGGAGTTCCAAGAGGAAGCTCATCCAAACATGATTGGTTTTGGGGTTTCATGTCAATCTGCAGGCGAGTATGTACAAAGGAGGATTCTCTCAGACCCAAATTGGCGGAGGGAATGCAAAGATCGGGCCTTCTTTCGCATGGGTTTGACAGTAAAACCAAGGGCAAACAATTGTTGGTTCCCATATCTTTGACGCATCCAACTAAAGTCTTGACTCATCATCAAGAAGCGGCTGCAGTCCCCACAGTTGTGCATCCTTGTATACTCCCTTGCAGATTGACCTGAAACCCCAAAAGCCACCATTTGTAGAGGAGCCTCCAGCCTTCTGATTATTTGCAGAGGGGGCGTGGGTATGTCTAAAAAGGAGGGTTATGTTTACTTGGAAACCCTCTGGAGGACATCAGAATTCGGTGATCCATGTCCCCCGCTCTTGAGCTGGTCAATGTAAATGGAACGAACATCAAGGTGGACAGAAGCCCTTGGCAAAAAAACAAAAGTTTGCTGCGGCCCCATGAGTTGGTGTGAAGTTCATGCCTGTGTCTCTTTTCCACTCCCCAGCCTTGCTTGCTTCAGTGGAACCGAGGGCAACTCCTTTGAGTTTGAGGCCCATGGAGTCTCCCAAACCGATTGAAATGTGGGTTCAAAGGGCCACAAGGCGACTGCAGGTGTTGCTGTCAGGTGGGGGACCGCTAAAAGGCCGGTGCAGAAACTTGCCTAAAACAGAGGGGTTCACTATGCTAAGACACAAAATCCAGCCCAGATGGCGCAAGTACCCTTCAAGCATGGCTGCTACTTGGACCCTTAGGGCAACTGAGCTACAATGTGCGACATAGGGGCTCCGGGAATACTCATCCCCTAGCTTCCCTAGTAAAGGAAAACATAGGGGTCATTTAGCACCCTCATGGGCGAGTTAGCCCCCAGTGCACAGTGTTTTCTGAACCTCTCTCCCAGCCGTTACCGGATCAAGTATGGCGGCTGTGCCATGCTCAAGTTGGCGTCCTGCGGCAAGTCGTAGGGCTGGCCGTGCTTGATGTTCAACAAGTGGTTCCACCACTCCTGGCGCTGATCTGCCCATCCATCCTGCGGGAACCTATGCCATATCTTATCTTGAGTGCAGAAGGCTGGGTCCGATAAAATACATTCTCAACATTGCTCTAAATGCTTTTCAACGGGGAACTTGGTTTCAAGGGATCCTCAATTGGAACCTTATGGCACATCTGCAAAAACTGTGCGAAGGGTCCAGGCACCGAAAATCAGCCACATGGTAAGGAAACGTTCAGGAAACAAACATGAACAAGCTATCAGCAAACAATTAGGGCTGCAAGCATCAACATCCACCCCATCACATTTGCAACTCCCTAACTTCGAACTACTCTGGACCATATTAGTCCGAGGAGCTCCCTGTACATGCTTCATGCATCATTTCCTGAGCTACCTTTTCGCCATCTTCCAAAATCCATGCTTGGGTGTGTCTCTTCTTGAGGGTAGCCCTTTTCACGCTGGTCTAAATGCAAGTCAAAAGGAGAGCCATTTGTGAAGGTCCCGTGCCCTCGTTTGGGAGCCAATCAGAAGGAGCCTCAGGAGGAGCCTGCGAGTCCGCAAGGCTTCGAAAAGCAAGCGCCCAAAGTCCGGACATGCCAAGAGGACTGTACTCGAGGGCCTAGGGTAACTTCCATTTCCGGCTATCTAGCACCAGAGCTTCATCTGGGGTCTCTAGAAAGAGTGGTAACTTCCCCATTCTGAACCCAGGGATCCGTCTTTCTAGAAAACCACCAAACAAATCCTGGGGAAATTGCGATCGGTTTTTGAAAAGAACGATGGCTGAAAAGGATGGGGAATCAACCCCTAGATGTGAAGGTTTATAGCCTGACCATAACCCGCATCAAACCAGGTAGCATCACACGGCCAATAGGAATCGGTTTTGGGCCGAAATTCGTAAACCTGAAAATTTTCGCCCCATCAAACCAGGAAGAACCACCCATGGCCAATAGAACTTCAAGGTTCCTCCCCAATGGCACTCGAACGGCGCCACATGGATTTGCGATCGATAGAAAGGCGATCGGATCCTGAGTCTTTTCCATGACCTTCCGCATCTCGTCGATGCCGTTGAAGATCTCGATCTCCTCCACCTCCTCCTGGGTGGTTGGAAACCCAAGATGGAACCATTGGAAGAAGCCCTCCATTTACCAAGGGAACCAGGGGACCTTCCAAACCCTTTGACCTGTATAACTAAGAGACCCAAAGTTTAGACTCCAAAACGGAAATGACATGTATTCAAGGGCAACGGGGATTCACTGGCTGCACCCCAAAGCCCAGAGGGTCCAGCTTAGACACGGCGGTTTTCCAGCTGACCTTCGAAGCCCATCGTTTGGAGCTGCTCCTTTCGGGGTTGCCTCGAAAGGGACACACAGAAACCGAAGCCCGGATCTGATTGCGGGTCCCAGGTGAAATCCTCGGAAAAAAAAGAAAAAAAAACTTGTCTGGTGGTTACAAGGGAAAGCCGCCAAGCCCCAAAAAGTAGTCTTGAGAACCCCTCGATATGCAACCGCTTCAGGGAACCAGCCCGACATATCTTGGATTTTCAAAAACTGGTGACCTTTTCAGGGTACCACTAAAGGGCTACAGTACCCAAAATACGCACACTCTCGGGGGTGCATTTGATATTTCAAGACACCCAGCTGCTTCAAAAGGGAAACCCAAGGGAATCGAAGGCTTCCAAGGGATGCCGAAGCTCAAACCTCATTTTGGTCTGGCTTTCACACAAAAAACAGCCACACAGGGAAGCCCAAGCCTCTTGGTTCTCACCGCCATGTCTGCGTGTCTGCGCGTTCGCGCCTGGCCACCATCCTCCTGCACAGTCTCAAAGCGGCCGTAGTTCGTCTCGCTGTCCGAGCCCTCGGATTGAACGCGAAGCGAAGGGATTGCGAAGGACACCCCGTGTGTGTTTATATATACATATATATATATATGTATTGTATATTTTTTGAGCAAGACATCCTGAAAAAAAGACTTTTGCTCAAGTTGTGTGAGGAAAACACAACTACTCCCAGTTGTTGTGGATTCCCTTGAAAACGAAAACGGGAAAGCAAAACCAAGCCTCAAACACCCTCTGCTTGGTGCCCCGGAGCGCGGGACAACCTTTGATTGGAGGCTACGCAGACGCTTCTGTTTGGACCCCCGCTTTGAGGTGTTCCAAGCACCTTTGCCCCTCCCGGTTGCCCAGTGAAAAAAGGGTAAGCCTTTCAGGTCCTGACCAATAGTGGAGAAAAGGAGATCTACGGGGTGCCAGCAGTTTCAGCTACTCCCGCTATAGTCTGGTCATCCTGATTTGGCCATGTTCTTTGGCCCTGGCAAAATGCGGATATCGAATCGGAGATGGACAGCTGTTCTTGAAGCTGGCGTGTTCATGTTTTTGGAACAACCACACCCAAGGCTGGTAAATGTTTGTGTCCGTGTCCTTCACAAGAACCTGGTTGCAAGGGTCGCGACCCATTTTCCGAGGGTCAAGATACCGCTGGCGCGCACACACACACACACACACACACACCCGCACGCACACCTGAATTTTGATTGGGAACCCTTGAGTGGCCATCATTTGGGTGGAGATTTATGTCCGCTACCCACATTCAAGGGGTTCCCCGAAAATGGAGAACCCATGAAAATTCCAAGTTGAAAAGGTAAGGGAAGTCTGTCAATGTCGTATTGCGCAACTCTATTCTCCCCTGTAATTGCTGGCAAGGTGGGGGCTCCCAAAGGCAAAGGGAAACCTTGTGCTATGAATGGAATTCCAGGAGGGGTCACCCCGTAGTGACAGTGTGCGGCAAGCTTCTCCACCACCTGTCCTACCCGAGTTCTATCAGTGTCGACTCATGCTCACGCTTCGCCGATAAGCATGTCAGGACTTCCCAGACTGACCTTTGAAAGGATGAATGTATGAACTCACGTATGAAGCTGTGGCAACACATTTGAGTCACAATCAAAACCCGGTATTAAAATGGTCTACCCAGAACCATGTAAAGAATCAGATATTTATGGTTGGGAGTATCCCTTACTAACCTTCATCTACCCGGGTTTTGATTGTGGCTCATTTGCGATTCTTCCCTGACCAAAACACCCAAGTTCGAAGCTCCGCCAAAAATCAGGGCCAGGTTTTAACTCTGAATCGATTCTAATTTGTTTTGTCCTTAGGAATTGGTCCAGCCAATCACTCGATCTTTACAACCACTTCTTTCGACATGAGCCAGCTGAAACATTCACAAGCACTCATGATGGTTTGCCTCCATCAGGGTGAGATCCCCTGCTGAAAGTGACTACTTTTGGCGGGAAACAAGGAAACCCCACCACTAAGCCGACTGAACAGCTTTAAAACCCTAGGGAACCGGCAACGGCCCCACAACAGCTTTCCGACTCCCGATGCGCGACCTGAACCCATTGGCTCCCCGACCCGGATGTGTGCGATGATGGTCTTGCCATCAAAGACTTCCAACTTGCGAACCTCACCGCCCGGCCCGATTTGGGGCTCTCTGGATGTTGTGTGCTTGTCAAACTCGGGGCACCTGAGAAACGACGGGCCTCCTTTCGGTTTCCCTGCAAACCAACCTGACAAGGGTACCAACTCCACAGAAAGACGCACACACACACACACACACTTTTGGCGAAAGGTCACTTGAGACACCATCGACCATCAAAGCCTGGTACTTTTGGTCGTCCACCCAAACCCCCGCCCCCACACCTGGGGATTGAAATTGTGGCTCAGACTTTCTCGCAGCGCGGCGCAATGCAGCGCATGGTCCCTGCAAGGGACCACGACAATTGGGAGTCTCGTCGTAAATCTGCTCCATGGTCCAAACACCCCCCTAGTCGGGTTCGCGATGGTCATCAACTCCTTCTTGGTTTTGCAACAGGTGGATCACTACTCCCTGCGGCCCCCAAATGATCGTGGACCATGTGGGAAATGTCTAGTGGTTTTCCCTAAAGAACTAGTTTGGGTGATGGCCAATGACTTGCAACCACCAAACGTCACTGGATTTTTTCTTTTTCGAGGGTGCCGTTTCTGGGGGTTGTAAGCCCGTTTTGGGGTACCATATCCCGTTTGGGGAGGCGGGGGGTGCCGAACCATCTTAGACTTCCGGCAACTTGTTGGGGTGTGTGTGTGTCTAAAAAATAACGCTACCTCCCATTCATGGCTAGCTCTCCTTTTGGTTTCCCTTTAATGTTAATCCGATTAATAAACCCCTGGTTGATTCATAGGGGAGTGTCCCCTTTTAGTGGGGGATTCAGACCACTTTTGGAGGGAACACCCCCTAATAATGGGACGGGTTTATTAATCCTGGGTCAACATTGACCCAACAACAGGGGTACCACCTCCAAATTTGTGGGAGTCTACTTCAGTAGGGGAATCCTTCCCCAAAAAAGGGGTAAAAGGGCACCGAGCTGGTAAAACCTAGCTTTAAACCACCCACGAAAAGAGTACCGCCTCCAGAACCACGCGCCTCTCGACCCGGAGAATTCCACTACTTCCAGGCACGGGTGTCCTTTGAGGGCAAATAGATGGCATTGGTAGATGATGAAACCACCAGGGAAGCCAGGGAAACCCTATTTTTCCACCAAAACAACCAAAAAGAACACCTATGATTCCAGGGCTCTGGCCCGGGTCTCTTGCAGCAACGTCAGCTTCAGCGGCCACTCCACCACCTGACGGTCTGACGCGCGCGCTCTCCCGACCCCTCCTCAAAAACGTGTTTAGTTGTTTTTAGTTTTTGTGGGTTTAATGGAAAACCCCTTGATTTCCCAAAATGCAAAAACTATGGGGTTTAATCGCACGCTTGTGCGATCCGCTTGCCTCTACGCCCCGCTATGGGCAGCCGGAGGCACCTTTTTTGTGGGTTTCACGGAACCCCCTGTGAATTTCCCAAAAAGTGAAAGTCGAAAGATCCAACCCAATAGCAGTATAGTGAAATCCACACTTGCTGCTGCCAGCCATGGGCTGAAAAATGGAGTCCCCGGTGGAGGGAGGTTTCGACCACATGCTTGCCTTTGTTGCCCCCGGAAATAAAGAGAAAATATGTCCAGCGATTTCTCTTCAAAACCAACGGGCGAAACACAAACATGTTCATCTCAGCAAATGAAGGGATACTGAGATAGCCGCAGGATGCGAAATACTACACCTGGATTTCTGCACAACTGTCAACTGCCGCAAAGAACCAAGACGTGCGGGTGCGTCCTGTTTTGGGGATACCCGTGTTGGGTGGTCTGAGATACACCTACCAAGGGCGCGGGCGCTGTCGTTTTGGCCACTCACACAACTACGAATCTGTGTCTTTGGTTTGTCTACGAAACCGGAACGACTTTGTGGCCCCCTATTTTCACACACGCCATTTTTTCAGCGAAAATGTCAGCACCCTTAACACTTATAACCGAGGTTGCACAACATCAATGGATACGCACAACACCAAACAGGCCGCGCGGCGAAGCATTTTTTAACAAGTATAAAGGTAAGCACCCCAAATTACCACATGGGTCTGCTTTTAAATAGGGGGGCCCTCAAATTTGGTGGCTTTCCCGTTGGCTTCCTATCCGAAAAAGGGTACCCTCAACACAAACCAGATGTGGCGAAACCCCCACGACCATGCTCAGCATGAACGTCCCGAGTCTCCAACCAAGCAACCCTCCGCGCCTGTGGGCCACGACTCTGCTTGAACGGTTTGCTCTGGTTGCACCCTAGTAAAACAACCCCATTTGGGGGTTTTCTTTTGGGCTCAGGGTCTGGTTCTTGGAAACCTGGTTGCCTTTGGGTTTTTTTTTTAGGCAAGCCCTGTCTACCTCGGTTTCAAGGGAAGCCAGGGTTGATCAAAAGGTCCTTTACAGAGGATGACCCTTGGGGAAAATCACAAACACAATAGGAGATGTCATGGATATTGCCCAAAAAAAGCTAGTCCCGTGGTCATTTGGGGGCCGAAGGAAACATTGATCACCCCCCACATAGGCCCCATGCGAACCCGCTTGCAACCGCGCCATCTTCTTCATGGAGTCTTCTTCCAGGCCCAGGATGTTGTCCTATCCAAGGGCAGATAGGACAGCGCCAAACGGAAGACCCAGGGGAAAAACAAAAAACATACCGCAATCCCCAGAGGGTCCCTTGGTACCTTCTAAGGAGGTACCAAAGGACCCATTTTTACCCCCTAAAAGCCACCCTCAGGAGGTACTTGGACCCTCTGGGATCTGAATGTGGGAAAGTTACTACAAGCCGGAGATCTGGACCCTAAGTAAGAGATCTTCGGGCATGGGCTAACCCCCGAAGCAAAGGGCTGGTTATTGCTGCTCAGGCAGCTTCACCAATCTATTTCCCACGGAGTTTGTCCAGTTGAATGGAAGTGATCAGCCCAAAAGGGTCCATGTCAGATTTGGAAGTGAATGTCACAGTGGGTAAGTGTCGGCTGCCATGTTTTGGGCTTTTGCTTTTTGGTCCCCGCAAATGTGCTTTGGGGTGTCCTTCTTGTTTTCCTTTACAAGGACCAAAGCATAGCCTCCCAAAACGACCTACCCATCCTACGCTTCGGCTCCTTGGCTCAAACGCCCGTCCTTGTTGTCGCCCCAGGCGAAAACGGTCCCGTTGGTGGAAAGAGCAAAGGTCGAGTTCCTGGCGCTCGCCAGGGCAGTGACGAAAAATCAGGGCCACTCCCTTCCGAAGTGGACAAGAAGTGGTTCAAGTCCATGCGCAAAAGCTCCCAAACTTGTTGTTGGCCACTAAAATGGTCCAAACCAAAAAAGTCAAAGTCCATGAACTCAGGGAGTGAGACCATCGCGTTCGGGAGGGGTCGAGAGTATTGTGTGTGTGTGTGCGTGCTAAAGTAAAGGTGCAGCAACCACCAAAAGGTTTAAAGCGGTTTGCAAGTTTTTACCTATCTCTCAGTCCAGGAAAACACCGCTCAAAATCCAGTTGTTGCTGATCCATTTTCCGACAAGACACATTTCTGGGAAGAATGGGGGAAGTTCAGCTAAGGCCCCCAATAGTCTGAAACACCAGGAACATGGGAACCATCACCATTCGATCGAGGGTCTCACGCTGGTAAGCACGTCCCAGCCGTCAGAAAGCAGTTGGCATTCGTTACCCCTGGAAGTCTTGACCCCTCCAGTTTTGCCAATGCATGTTCCATTCACTTTCTCTCTCAGAATGCGAGTGATCAGCGCGCAAGTGACCCATGTGCGACTTGGAAGTGAATGTTGCAGAGCTGTGCGTGTGCTAAAGAAAGGACCCTCTAGAGGAAGCCAATGGGAAAACAACCAGACCACATGTCACTTTGCTCCTGCCTGACCTCAGGGTTGTGGAAGACTTCAGTACAAATGCCCTGTGGTTGAATCATGGCCACTCACGTCAGCCTTTTCGGCTCGAAAAAAACCAGGCAAGCTCTCCGAGCATGAAAGCCACGCGCGAAAATCAACGTCTCGGAGCCTTTGGATCGAACCAGGCGCCAATGGCCTCTTCACCAAAAGCTTCAAAGGTCGGTTTTGGAGCGCACCCGCAAAGTGCCCACACTGGCCGGGTTTCTGACCTAACACTACTGTTTCTGACCAGTCCAGCGATTGTTTTTGAGAAAAAGCCCTTCGGACCGAGCCAAAAGCCCTAAGCACAGAAACCAGCTTCTGCTCATGCCCCTCCATTTCATATTCCCACGAAGTGGCCAAGTCGTTTCCTTTGACCAGGCATTCAAATATGAATGACTTAGTTCACCGGCGCGTGCGGCGTGTGCAAGCTCGCCAGCCGCTCCGCACCACCAGGATCTGCACCACCTGCTCGTTGCTCAGAGCTTCCACCTTCACGACTTGGGCGATGCACACGTACGGTATATCTTTTCGCATACAGATCTAATATACATGTACTCATACACAAATATACTCATATACATACACACAAACACACATACAAACACACAACCATTCATATATATATATATATATATATATATTATACACATACATACAAGTTCCTGTTAATATGTCTTCTACGTATAAGTATCTATAAATGTATATATATATATATGTATATATATTTATATATCACTGCCCCAAGTTGGTGTGGGGCGACGGGCTCGCCTTGGCGGGCACGTAGACGGTATCCATCTTGCCGGTGCCCAACTGGCCCTTGCTGCCAGTGCCCCAGGTGAAGACCTGCGAAGAAAGCTATGAGCCGATCGCTGACATGGAACCAAGGACTAAAACCTGGGGCGGTTTCTCACCTGCGGCTTCTCAAAATTAGCCATGAGTAAATTCAATTTTAGAAAAACTGGGCGTGCTTTTTCCGGAACCATGCAACGGTTTTCTCCAAATGAGTCATGAATATTCAGAAAATGGGCCGTGCTTTCCGGGAAAAAAAGTGCAACGAAGACAAAAGGCGGCTGCACTCATTTGTGCTCAGGATTATCCCGTACTAACCTTCATCCACACGGGTTTTGAGTGTGCCTCAACTGTGTTGCCAAAGGTCGACGACTCGGGTGTGGCGGAATACGTGTGCAGAAACTCTTTGGCGCAGGATTCTACTTGTTGACTACCCCCAAATGCCTCAAACCCAGAGGGTGGGTTATACTCCAAAACGGATTTAAGCCTATTAGCAAGCAGTCGAAAAAAGGAGCCCGGTTTGGCACAAACTTTTTTGGCACAAACCTTGCAGCTGTTTGTCCTTTTGCTGAAGACCTCGAGGACATCTACAGGGCATACAGTTTTCGTCCAATCATGTCTTGCACACACGCCCTGGAATGCCAGTGAGCATTGGATGCCCAGAAGCTGCTTGCACGTGATATGGCTTTAGCTGAAGTCTCCCTGGCCACGATCCTCCAAATCCCAGGACTCCCATGCTACGTAACCCAGACTGGCTTGCCAGGATATAAAGAAAGGTGCACCTGAAGGGAACCTTCCCCCCAAGGCCAACCAGGACAAGGCCAAGAGGTCCAAATCATCCCATCCGGTCGATCCAAACCCATTCAAGAAGGTTGCCCTCCCAACAACATACATGATTTGCTGCAAGTTCTCCTCTTGGAAGACTACCTTGTTAGCAAAAAGCCCTGTGTACTTCCATGTGGTTGGAGGGTAAACCTTTTTGGCGGGTTCCCGCTAAACATGGTCAGCACAAACAAACCAGCCAGCCAACCAACCAACCAACCAAGCAACCAAGCAACCAAGCAACCAACCAAACCAGCCAAACAACCAACCAAGCAACCAACCAACCAAACAAAACAAACAGCAAACATACAAACAAACCAAAACAACCAACCAACCAAACCAAACAAACAACAAGCATGCAAACAAACCAAAACAACCAACCAACCAAACAAAACAAACAACACAAACCAAAACAACCAACCAAGCAAACAAAACAAACAACAAACATACAAACAAACCAAAACAACCAACCAACCAAATTTCAAACAAAACAAACAACAAACATACAAGCAAACCAAAACAACCAACCAACCAACCAAACAAACAAAAACATACAAACAAACCAAAGCAACCAACCAACCAATCAAACAAAACAAACAACAAACATACAAACAAACCAAAACAACCAACCAACCAACCAAACAAACAACAAACATGCAAACAAACCAAAACAACCAACCAAACAAACAAAACAAACAAAAACCATAAACAACCCAAAACAACCAACCAACCAAACAAAACAAACAACAAACATACAAACAAACCAAAACAACCAACCAGCCAAACAAAACAAACAACAAACATACAAACAAACCAAAACAACCAACAAAACAAAACAAACAACAAACATGCAAACAAACCAAAACAACCAACCAACCAAACAAAACAAACAACACAAACAAAAACAACCAACCAACCAAACAAAACAAACAAAACAAACAACAAACATACAAACAAACCAAAACAACCAACCAACCAAACAAAACAAACAACAAACATACAAACAAGCCAAAACAACCAACCAACCAACCAAAACAAACAACACACATACAAACAAAGCAAAACAACCAACCAACCAAACAAAACAAACAACACAACCAAAACAACCAACCAGCCAAACAAAACAACCAACAAACATACAAACAAGCCAAAACAACCAACCAACCAAACACAACAAACAAAAACCATAAACAAACCAAAACAACCAACCAACCAAACAAAACAAACAACACACATACAAACAAAGCAAAACAACCAATCAACCAAATTTCAAACAAAACAAACAACAAACATACAAGCAAACCAAAACAACCAACCAACCAACCACACAAACAAAAACATACAAACAAACCAAAACAACCAACCAACCAACCAAACAAAACAAACAACAAACATACAAACAAACCAAAACAACCAACCAACCAACCAACAAAACAAAGAACAAACATGCAAACAAACCAAAACAACCAACCAACCAAACAAAACAAACAACACAACCAAAACAACCAACCAGCCAAACAAAACAACCAACAAACATACAAACAAGCCAAAACAACCAACCAACCAAACACAACAAACAACAACCATAAACAAACCAAAACAACCAACCAAACAAAACAAACAACAAACATACAAACAAACCAAAACAACCAACCAACCAAACCAAACAAACAACAAACATACAAACAAACCAAAACAACCAACCAACCAACCAAACAAACAACAAACATGCAAACAAACCAAAACAACCAACCAACCAAACAAAACAAACAACACAAACCAAAACAACCAACCAACCAAACAAAACAACCAACAAACATACAAAAAACCAAAACAACCAACCAACCAAATTTCAAACAAAACAAACAACAAACATACAAGCAAACCAAAACAACCAACCAACCAACCAAACAAACAAAAACATACAAACAAACCAAAACAACCAACCAGCCAACCAAACAAAACAAACACCAAACATACAAACAAACCAAAACAACCAACCAACCAAACAAAACAAACAACAAACAAACCAAAACAACCAACCAAACAAACAAAACAAACAACAAACATACAAACAACCAAAACAACCAACCAACCAAACAAAACAAACAACAAACATACAAACAAACCAAAACAACCAACCAACCAAACAAAACAAACAACAACCATACAAACAAACCAAAACAACCAACCAAACAAAACAAACAACAAACATACAAACAAGCCAAAACAACCAACCAACCAAACAAAGCAAACAACAAACATACAAACAAACCAAAACAACCAACCAACCAACCAAACAAAACAAACAACAAACATACAAACAAACCAAAACAACCAACAAAACAAAACAAACAACAAACATACAAACAAACCAAAACAACCAACCAACCAAACACCACAACAACTTTTCGCATGAGTTCAGCCACCAAAACCCACCGAACACGACCAACAAAAATTATCCCGGGTCTCGTTCGGATCCCCGAAAGCGCGGGCGTCGGGAGATCGCGTTTGCGCCTCCCCGGTGGTAGTGAGCGCCACCACGTGCTCGGGGCCCATCTGGAGGTCCACCACCTGCGTCGTTTCACCGCAGGGCTAGGGGAAGACCAGGTCCTCCAGACTTTGAGAGCTTCGAAGAAGTGAGTACCCGATTTTTCTCTCAAAGTTACTTTGCCGGAGTCTACTTTGGTATGGGAACCCTCCCGCAAAAAGAGAAAGGGTAAACGGGCACCCAGCTCGGGGACCTAGAAGGGGAAGCCCTGGTACGGGTCAAAAGGGCGCGGTCCAAAAATTGAGGGAAGCCGAAAAGACGGTGGCTTTCGGGGATTCCAATTTTACACAATGTTCTTTTTGGTGATTGGCCGAAGGGATTACGGAGCGCGGGTCAAAAATAGGGTAACCCTAAAATGGGGGCCCGTGAGAAATGGAACGGACTAAAATCTGCGGTCCATATCCTGGTGGTTGGTTTACTTTTGACAGGAGATGGCTTTGGGATTCTTCTCGCAGATTGGCTTTTTTTGTGATTGCCCGAATTCATTTCAGTTGACCAGATCTTGTGCAAATGCCCATTGGGCTCCTAGTTACCACAGGCTGCCGCCAATGATTCTTGGCGTGTAATTCGCGTGGAAAGCCCCAGAAAGGCTCCAGGGGTTTTGTTGGTTGACGTTGGGGAGCAAACATCCTCAAATTTTAGCAGTTAAGTGGTTGGATTTCAACCACTCAACCACAATAAGCAAAAACGATTCAAATGTGTCCCGACGACAGGACCGTTCCTACTGGTAAGGGAAAACCGGCGGATGTTCAAGTGCCTCGACGGGGGGAGATCGGCAGTCCTGCTCAGTCACCCCTAATCGTTCTCAATGGTTCTCCGAATCTGCCTACCAATCCCTGACTTCCAACCAGTCGATATTGCACCACTCAGAAGTGAGTGAGAACTCAGGGTGTTTCGGGACCTGGATACTTTACAAAAACTACCCACAAGAAAAGGCCGATGGTTGAGACCTCTCTTTCAGAGTTGAAGACCCACAAGGGCTGGTCTCGGCAATTTTCTCTGGGCCTCTAAAAGGTCAAGAAACCATAGCGTTGAGGTCAGTTTAACCCAAGGCTGCCTGCCTCCTTTGAAACCGATCCCTCCTCACTGCAAAGGATTCGCACGGTTGCTTCCTAGCCCGCAAGCATCAGGGCTTCAAATCGAAATCCACACCAATCCAGACTAAGGCTTACCTGATCTTTGGTTCCACAATCCCATCACGCCATGATAGTGGCTAGGTCCTCCAGTAGAGAGGTCAGAATAAGTTGGTACCCTCTTCTTCTTTTTTCCGGCAGTCTACATTTAGCAGGGGAACACTCCCCCATGTCTATTTTTGTGGGGGAACCGAATCTCCCCCATGTTTTTGGTAAAAGTTGGCACGATCCTGGGGGACCTGGGTAAAGGCTCCATCCCATTCCTCGATCCGTCCCCAAGGACTCCGACCGACCGCCTCCTTGAGCTTCGGCACCTGGCACCGTCTGGGGCCCGCGTCCAGTCCGAGCTTCTGGCGTGAGCCCTTGGAGTGGCCCAGGTCTGGTGGCTTGTGTTGCTGAAAAGCCGGGGGGAACACACAACACACAACACACAACACACCACACACAACACACAACACACACACACAACACACACACACACACAACACACGGACATAAGCCACAGTTGCCACAAGCAGATGGCCCCTACATCTTTGCGATTGTTTCTACCGGTGTGTGTGTGTGTGTGTGTGTGTGTGTGTGTGTGTGTGTGTGTGTGTGTGTGTGTGTGTGTGTGTGTGTGTGTGTGTGTGTGTGTGTGTGTGTGTGCGTGTGTGCGTGCGTGCGTGTGTGTGCGTGCGTGCGTGTGTGTGCGTGCGTGCGTGCGTGCGTGCGTGCGTGCGTGCGTGCGTGCGTGCGTGCGTGCGTGCGTGTGTGCGTGTGTGCGTGTGTGCGTGTGTGCGTGTGTGCGTGTGTGCGTGTGTGCGTGTGTGCGTGTGCGTGTGTGCGTGTGTGCGTGTGTGCGTGTGTGCGTGTGAATGCGCCGCGTGCGCGTGTGTGTGTGTGTGCACGTGTGTTTGCGTGTTGTGTGTGTGTGTTGTGTGTTGTGTGTTGTGTGTTGTGTGTTGTGTGTTGTGTGTTGTGTGTTGTGTGTTGTGTGTTGTGTGTTTGTGTTGTGTGTTGTGTGTTGTGTGTTGTGTGTTGTGTGTTGTGTGTTGTGTGTTGTGTGTTGTGTGTTGTGTGTTGTGTGTTGTGTGTGTGTTGTGTGTTGTGTGTTGTGTGTTGTGTGTTGTGTGTTGTGTGTTGTGTGTTGTGTGTTGTGTGTTGTGTGTTGTGTGTTGTGTGTTGTGTGTTGTGTGTTGTGTGTTGTGTGTTGTGTGTTGTGTGTTGTGTGTTGTGTGTTGTGTGTTGTGTGTGTGTGTGTGTGTGTTGTGTGTTGTGTGTTGTGTGTTGTGTGTTGTGTGTTGTGTGTTGTGTGTTGTGTGTTGTGTGTTGTGTGTTGTGTGTTGTGTGTTGTGTGTGTTGTGTGTTGTGTGTTGTGTGTTGTGTGTTGTGTGTTGTGTGTTGTGTGTTGTGTGTTGTGTGTTGTGTGTTGTGTGTTGTGTGTTGTGTGTTGTGTGTTGTGTGTTGTGTGTTGTGTGTTGTGTGTTGTGTGTTGTGTGTTGTGTGTTGTGTGTTGTGTGTTGTGTGTTGTGTGTTGTGTGTTGTGTGTGTGTGTTGTGTGCGTGCGTGTATCTTTGGGAAGTACCCTTGAGGTGGTTTTTGAAAAGAAAACAGCAGGAAACCCGCACATCTTTTGGGGGGTGCGGTGTGACCTCAGTTCGAGGAAAGCCCATTTGCGACTTTGACGTGGTAGAAAACATATTGGTCTGCTTACTGGCCTGAGTCCGCAACGTCTGCTTTCCTTTGTGTTTGTTGATGACGAAAACCGATACCACAGTTCGTTTTGACCACGTCTCCCGGGGGAAAACATATATCAAGGAGGAAAATAACACATTGCCAGATATAACAATTTCAGCCAGAATGAGAACCAAAAGAAAAATTAATTAAACGCCACCAGCACCTCAACAAAGCGCCCCCTCAGAATATCCGCAGACTTTTGGAGGCAGTAGAAGACAGTGGAGTGCTAAAAAACAGGGAAAGCCCCTTCATGTCAGCTATGGATCCTGGTTCTTACTTGTTCAATTAGTACAACAAATATCTGCACGATTTGACAGTGATTCTCAGTTTCTGCGAGGGAGCTGGCAAGCAGGATAATGACAAAGAGAAAGTTACATCTCTCAAAGAATGCGATTCAGCATGCGCCGGTGTCGGGCATATGACAAATTTGGGGCTGTCGTCCACGGGCCCTCATTGCTCCTGACTTAACTACATAACCAATGATGCACATGAATTTGGTCTGGGAATGTCAAGCTTCCTTGGTGGGTGATTGCTATTAACAGCTAAGGGTTTCTGTCAGGGCATTGTTGTATTTTCCATCGACAGCAGCTCCGCGAATCACCAAGCATTGCTCACTGGAATTGCTGCCTGGAAAACAAACCAAAGGAAACCCTTGCCCCAGTTCACCCGACCTCATCTCCACTGGACCCAAGAAAACGCTCGCATGTTTTCTTTGGCGGTCATCATGAGATCCCCAAAGAAAGGAGTACCCTCCCGGTGATTCCATGGAAACCACCGAGTCCTTTCAAGAGGAAGGAGTCCTGGAAAACCACCAAGTACTTTGAAGAGGAAGGAGTCCTTGGGAAGTTTCCACGTGGGGAGGGCGCGTCATTTTGAGAACCTCCGCAATGTTCGCTGAACGCAGCCTCCTGAGGTACGTCGCGGTTCACCACCGGAGCACCCGAGTCATCGTAGCCTGAGCAAAACGCGGGGAAACAAACTCGAGAATTTGGGGGCAGCTAATCTTAACCCCGGATGAATAAACCCCCTGGTTGATTAATAGAACACCCCCCTAATAATGGGACGGGTGTATTAATCCTGGCACCCCCATCCCTGCCTCTTTTGTTCCGGATAGAGGGCAGCTCTAAGCTGAAGGGTTGGTCACAGCGCTACCGCCACCAAGTCAGAATCTGTAAAGTGCACCCTCCTCCCTCCTCCCTCCTCCCTCCTCCCATCCGTAATGCCCAAAACGTGCCGGTTGCAACCAGGAGAAAAAAACGGCAAGGAAAGCGCTTGTAAGCCGAAGGGCTTCCAGGGGTTAGCCGGGGTCTAAACACATCAGACATCATCCATGATATTGTGGCTTCCTGGGAAGTGTCCGCATCTGGGTCATTCGGCCGCATGTTTATCGGCAAGGCGGCAACAAGGCATCATCGGGCCCTTGAAGTCGCTGCCTACCACCGACATGTGTTCCAGATTTGGGTAACTCCTTGTTTGATGCTTTCAACAACTGACGCGCGTTGCTTTTTGTTGCCCTCATTTTCTCCTGGCATTCCTACATGTCGCATCCTTGTGCAAAATCGCCTGGAGACCAATCGCGAGCACAGCTCATGAATGGAAAGGCGCAGTCTCATTTGGAAAGCAGCCAAAATGAGAACAAAGACAAAACCACCAACACAAAGCTGCTATCCCCCCAGAGCCATTCAGTTCAAATGCCCATTCAAACGCCCGAATGGGCTTTCTTCTCAGGATGCTTGGACCCTCTGTGCTCGTAATCCACGACAGGTTGTGGTGGCGTTGCTTCCCTTTGTTTATGCTACATCGGAAACGAAGAAGAAACGGAAGCCAACCGGAGTTGAAGCAAAGGTAGCACCTCTTCTCACTAACATGGAACCTGACGTTTCGGGGTCCTTGTTTGGACCATGTTCCTTCATTTATCTGTTTCATGTTTGTCTACTAGTGGACAGGGCACTAAATCTTTGAACATTTCTCTCATCAGCCATTGAAGGCTGCGGGGCTTTTCGCTTTTAAACATGTCTCCGCCAAACGCCAAACCGCACGTCTCGCATCCGCCCTCCGCAATCCGCCACATCCGCCCCGCGGATGGCACCAGTTCCCAGTACTCGGGCCGATGGGCCCAGTCCGAGGCATCCCGTCTTCATGTCCTTGCCCCAGGAGACCACCTGGCGAAGTGCGCCGGTTGGCCCCTGGTCCTCCGAATCTTCTGGGGAGTACGGGGGTACGGGGGGAGCGGGGGGAGTGGGGGAGGGAGGGGAGGGAGGGGGGAGGGGGAGGGAGTGGAAGAGGAGGGCAGGGGGAGGGTGGGAGGAGGGGGATGACCATTTCTGGTTCCATTTTGTTCGGTAGAAGTGGACTGGGGAAACCCCCAGCCCATCCCCCAGCCAGGTAGGGGGGCATGATGATGTGGGAGTTGATCAAAAGTTTTTTTTTGTTTCTTTACTTGGGATGATCATTGGTTGGAAAACCACTAAAAAATGATACATCCCACAAAATGGGAAAAGTTACAGTCCATTTGGGGGCCAGGAATATTGATCAACCCCCACCTGGATCCGGAAAAAAAAAAAAAAAAACACCTTCAAAAAGCGCGATCACCCTCTCATCTTGGGGCAATATCCAAGAACCCACCTGTAGCACCCCCACCCCCCCAAATCGTTCAAACATAAAAGAGATCCCCACCCGAATCCGAAAGCGGGATTGATTTTACACCCAACGCATTCGGTTTCAATGGATACATCAAAGTGACATCCTCAAAACAGCTTTCAGCAAAACGATCCCCCAAAACCAGTTCAAGAAGAACCCCATCCATGGCTGGACCCCCCAAGAATCAAGTGCCCAGAGGGACCTGCAAAAGGGATTGAAAGTGCCTGTGGCCTTTGATCAGTTGGGTCAAAGCATCCTTGTTGCAAGAAAAACCTCTCTGCAAGAAAATCCAATTCCCCCCCACCAAACAAAAAAACGCTGGCCTTGAACAGACCCACTTTCCTTCGGGTTGCGGCACATCACTACGTCAGGTTGGGCTCCCAAACCAGGCCTTGCCATTCTCAGTGAGGCCCAGCACAAAGCTGTCCCCCAACACCTTAGCAAGACGCACCGAAAAGCTGCTCTGGATCGATATGTCATGGAACCACGCTTGCATTCTCTTGACCACCCATGGCCTTGTATGCCAAGAGTAAGATCAAATACACAAATCATTGTACCCTAAGGATCCCAACTCTTTTCGGGGCGTCGTTTGGCATTGGGCCCTCAGGGGCAGAATGGCGAGGGGCCATAGAAACACGACCCCTCGTAGCGAGGGCTCGGGGTCTGCAACCACTATCGATCATTCAATAACAATCGCTTTGACAGTTATTGGCCCGCGCACCGTCCTGGCCGGCAAACAAAAGATTCAGCTGCCACGGACAAATCGGTACGCCCAAGTATTTCCTATAGCTAGCAAACACAGATCTCGGATGGCTTTCCGACATCTGCTTTCCAACGGCGTTCTCACTCATGCTGGCATTCCGCGGCTTCTGAAAACTGTCCGACGGCTTTCCGGCGGCTTCCCGACGTTTCTGACGGCTTCCCGACGTTTCCGACGGCTTCCCGACGTCTTCCTGACGTTTCCGACGCCTTCCCGACATTTCCGACGGCTTCCCGACGTTTCCGACGGCTTCCCGACGTTTCCGACGGCTTCCCGACGTTTCGTTTCCGACGGCTTCCCGACGTTTCCGACGGCTTTCCGACGCTCGGGCCCTCGCGGGCCCTCGGTTTGCCTAGTTTTGAGGGCCCAAGCGTTAGCTTCCCGACGTGTTTCCGACGCCAGAACTTGACGCGTGCGGTTCTAATCGGCACTCAACTGGCCCATAAATGCAAACTTTACGCCATTGCAAGCCAATAGCAGCGATAGCGCGTAACCAAAGGAATTTTGCGCGGCTCATGGGCCTGTCAGACACACACACACAAACAAGCAAAGTCAGCAAGCTTTTGGCAAACACGGGATAACACGGGACTCCTGCCAAGAAGCTGCGAAATACCAAACAAGTGAAGACACATCACCAGCCCACACATCCGAAACAACAGGCGCGTTGTTAGCGATAACACTGTGGACTCAAGCCGCCCAGCCTTCACCCATAGCGCCTGGCCTTTTTTAGAATTATCTGAAAACGGAATTTTGTTCTGCGAAGGGGTGTCGTTGCAGCCAGTGGCCAGTTGGGTTTCAGACCTTGTCGCGTGCGCTCAAAACGGGTCTGGGCCCCCGGGGCGTCGAACTGTGAACTGCCAGAGCCCCGGAACGTCGTCAGCAGGGTATTTAGGCCGGACCCTTTCAATGCACATCCCGACCCTTCCAATGCACATACCAAAGAGCCTTAGGGTAAATCACAAAGGTCGTTTGTTCCCACTTGGAGGACACGGTGAACCTTTTGAACCCCTCCCGTCAAACAAGTCCGACCACGACAGTCAGTCTCCACGACTCTTCCACAAAAATCGTGTTTCCAGCATGTTAATAAATCCTGGGATTTTTGGTTGTATCCTTGGAGGATGGGGACTGAAGAAACGAGGGTGCTAAACTACTTCCCGAGAAGGTAAGGCACCTTTGTGATGTGCTTAGCGTGTCAAAAGGATCTGCTGTCGGCCCTGCTTCCTTTTGTTCCACCCCCAACCCTCGTTCTGTTGGCGCCCTAAAAAAAACAAGCTCTTGGTTTTCGGGGGGAACACACAAATACACACCGATGACACCTGTTTCTTCCGGATCGGTCCGCCAACTCCGGCCACCGGCGAAAGCGAAGCCGGGCGCATCAGTCGCATCGCGGCTGACTGAGCAGCCGCGCCACCTTCTTGAGCTGACCGGGGACCTTCTTGGTGAGGAAGGGCTTCGAAATGACCCTGGCGCAGCTCTCTTGCACCCACGGGACGCCGGATCTCCCAAAACGTCGTCCCTTACCTCCTAATGGCTTTCGGTACGGGGCCCTTTGGTACCTCCTGGAACTTGGGGCTAAAGCGGAAGCCCAAAAAGCTGATGTTGGGCCCGTCTTTTTCGCCGATGTCCCAGTGGATTCCTGGGACTCCGTTGGGCTTCGCGAGTTTATGGAAAGTGCTCCCCCCCCCGGCCACAAAATCAAAACTCCGGGAGAAAGACACATTTCTCAGCCTTAAACCCAAAAACAAAAAACTCAACTCCTGGAGAAATAAACTTGGCCTTTTACTTTTACCGGGTCTAGCTAAACCCTTCCGCTCCAAAGGCTGAAGGCCTTGGATCCAGGACCTCCTGCTTTTGAAGTGGCCAAATCGTGATTTTCATGCAGATCCCCTTACATACTTTTAACAACAGACAAGGCCAAACAAGCATACAAGGGGGTACCCCACAAGAGCCCCTAATCCTCTTATGATCTTGGCAAGCTTCTTGCTGGAAGGCAAAATTCCCAGATCACAGCCTTAGCCTTTACTTTAGGGTCTTAGCTGAGAGGCGAAAGTCAATACTAAATGAGGTACTGGACATCTAAGTTTACTCCTATAACTCCACGAATCTTGGTCCAGGCCCTCCCAAACGGCCTTGATTTTGGAGGTCACTGAACGAAAGGGGTGGGTTTGCTTCTCTTTGGTTACTACGCTTTTGCCTAAGGGTCAAAGCGAGCCTAATGGCTGATGCTATACGGAAATCCATGGTTGTTTTCGAACCGTTTACCTCTGGAAACCATTCGAATCAGGAGAATTGGTCAAGACTTGCTGGCTTTCCACATGTGTCTTTTGGTGCAGCCACTTTGAGTTGCTTGCGGCCACCCACATGACTTGCCCATTTCAGGGTTCGTGAGATCAATGCTAGTTGCTTTAATTAAGGACGGGATAGGACAGAGAAGCCACCCATTTTGGGAAGATAATGTTGGACCCTCATATGCAGTGGCACAGTCATTTGGAGCCCTTTTTAGAGAAAAAAAACATGCGGGAAGGTGGACTTGGTCTTGGCACTACTTACCGTTCGTACTCTCAATGCAAAAGTTTCGTATTCCCAAGACTTCTTCTCGGATGTCCAGCACTTCTAGTACTTGAGCTTTGGCCTTCGAAGTCTAGCAACCCTGCCCAAGGATCAGCCCTAAAGGAATTCCTTTCTCGCTTTCCGCCCATTCTGACCTCTGAGTTGGCAAAAAAAGAAACGGTAGATGTGGGGTCAAAGGGATGATACCCAAATCGGTAGGACCTTTGTGCCATCTACCAACTCACCCAACTGTAGATGGCCAGCCTAGAAACCAAACTGAAAAGAAGAGAACCTTCCCGAGCAAGGGGGCTGGGTGAGGTACAGAAACCCAGGCTTTGGTCCCCATAAAGGAAACCACCAAGTGATGCTTTCTGGAGGTCATTCCATAACTCCCATTCCCTGCATCTCTCGCACCTAACGCAAGTTAAGGGGCCTGCGTATCATTGTGAGCTGGATGTACCCACACGCGAAGTCGAGCAAGATCGATCCATGGCGCCTGTTCTTCCAAGTGCCCCAAAGGAAGAAGTTGTTCTGGGCCACTGGAGCCGTCGCCATGACTCGCCTGGGCGACAAAAAAAATGCACTTGCCTAAGCTCTCTGGAAGAAACAAAAACGTATGTCCAGTGCAGTTATGATACATTCTCTTTCAAAGCAACAAGGGAACATATACCATATTGAAGAGCAAAAGGAAGCTTCTTTCTGACTGATCCAACGCCCGAACATGTTTTACCGGCTTTTTCAAAAGAACGGCGGGAAACGAAAAGACGCCGGACATCATTCTTGTTCAGAACACCAGCACCGACGACCAAGGGCCAAGAACTCCGATGTTGCGGTCGAGCTGTGGTTCCCATTAGCTGGTTTGTTTTTGCTTTAAGATCTAACCCCTGAAAAGGGGAGGGGGCTTAATGGCCTCCAAAACCAACGCGCATGTGGCAGTTCGGGTGGCTAGGCCCAAAGGAGTGCCTTTGCCCCATGGTTTTCGAGAAGCAATTCAAGCCCCGAACCCCTTTCAGACCGAGCCTAGCTGGAAGACTGGGTCTGCAAAAAATGACATCCGCAGAACAATCCTCGAACTGGTGGCTCCTCCAAAAGAACCTGGAGTCTCCATGACCCTTAAAAAATGGGGGCATTACCCAAAATTAAGGGGTCATGGACCCATTTTTTAAGGGTCATGGAGACTCTAGGAAGTTGTGAGAACCCCTCAACATCTTCGCTCTAAGAGGTCCCGGAGAAGCGGTGCGAGCAGTTCATGAGCTGACGCAGGCCTTGATTGTCGTGGGCTTCTCTCTAAATGGGGGGTTTCCCCCCAAACCGGTGGCTTCCCTTTGATTTCTCTTTAAAAAGAAGGGTTCCCTCAAACAACGACTCATGTAGCCTCCATTCGCAAAGGCGAATGAGTCGGTGGAACTGGTTGGAAGCAAACGCCCCTGCAGCCAGTTGCATGTCTCGTTCGGGTGATCAGCCAATGATCATGCGAATGAGAGTCCAATTGTTGGAATTTTAACGACACCCTCCAAAAAAAATGTTAAATGGGGAGTTGTGACCACCCATTTGCTTGAAAGGGTGTCTATCAGAAACTTCGATGGTTGTATCTGAACGGACGCGCTGGTCGCCTCCCGTCTTGGAAACCGCAAAGTGGCGCTGGACCTCCAAGAGCGCCACCACCCCCCCCAGCGCCCCCTCCCAACTGCCCCTGAGGAGTGAACTAACTCGCACCGTCCGGGGGAAAACAGGTCGGGTGCCGATTTTTCACGGGATGCGGAGCAGTTCAAGTGGGAGATGCGAGATGATCCAGTTGTGAAGTGCCCTGAGCCCGAATCGACTGGGACTCTCTGTACACGCTGGAGCCAGGAACGGCGAGTGGAATGGCCGGGAAGGTGTCGGTCTAAACTGAAACAAGGCCATTGCTTCTAGGTCCTCCAGTAGAGAGGTTAGAATAAGGGTACCCTGTTTTTCTGCAGTCGACTTTAGTAGGGGAACCCTCCCCCAAACAAAGGGTACAAGGGCGCTACTGCGGGATCTAGGCTTAATATTCAAGCACAAACAAAAGGCCACGAACCATTCACCGGGGTCCGTGGCTATTCTAGGAACCACCGAACCCCACGCCTGGGCCAACCACCAAGCTTAAGCGCTTTAAGCTTTGTGACAGAATCAGAACTCGCTGCGAAGTTCCACTGAATCGGCGCATACCTATTGAGTGCTTCACAGCCTCCTCACCTCAGAGCCAGTCAAAGTTTTGCACATAGAGTCATGTGCTTGTCCGTGATACTAGCCATAAGTCAGGACTGACTTACATCCAAGAAAGACATAACGAACATTTATTCTGCAAACTTGTCACGCAGTGAAAAGGCTGCTCAAGGGCAGAGACAAGAACCTGTCATCGAGAAGAGACACATCAACTATGACATCCATGAGTCTATGGGGCTATGCCGATCCAGTTTGCAATCCAAAGGGGAGGAGAGAGAAAACTTTCTTCAACTAGAAGCTGGAAAGGACAAGCTCATGCTTTGTCCGACCTCTACGTGCACAACCCCTCTCGTGAGTCAGGCGATGCTCGAGACGTCGCGCGCTTTGAACCCGAAATTGCAGCTGCTGCAAGTTGGCAACCAAAGACTTTTCAGAACGACTCAACTTGTTTTGCTGCAAGCAATGTTGAGAGAATGGGTCAGGGACTTTGAAGAGCGGCAAAGGGCAGGTGCAGCTACATGTATATGAGATCCGGGTGCTTGAAGGGATCAAAGTCAGTTGAGGCAGCCCCCGACTTCACTTGACTTTTGGCTCCCATGCTTCCAAGAGGTTTCATGATTGCCCTCAGTCTAAAACCCCTTCCCTGCTAGTTCAAGGGTCTTTGAGCCTTATTTGGCTCACCCCAAAGGACCTGGACAAATATATCTCAACCCTTTCGAACCTCACCTAAGCCATGGGACCATAGGTTTCAACCAACAGATGGCTGTGGGTCAAAACCAATGGTATCCCATTTTGGGATAGGTGAATTCACCACCCATTTTAGCACACATTTTAGTGGTTGGATTGGTTGATGTTCACTGGGTGCTCACAATTTGGTTTTTGACCCTTGGCCAGGTCATCTCAATTTGCTTTGGGCAAATCCTTGGTTGACGTTGGAAGGGGAGCAACCAAAAATTGAATTTTAGCAGTTAGGTGGTTGGATTTCAACCACTAAACCACAAGCAAAAATGATTCAAATGTTTCCCAACAACATCCATGAATCGACCTTTCGGGCGTGGCAAAACTCCGCCAAACTCCGCTGGCTTTTTCTCACGTCTTCTTGGCCGCTCTTCGCCTAGCGACGGCTCGGAATGGGAACCGGTCACTCTCCAAATCGGGACGACCTCAGCTTCCCCGCTGCAATTTGTTTTGAGCGGTTTTTGGAAAGCCCGGTGGGGTGGGGTGGGCTCGGGCCAGTTTTCGTATTAGGGGGAAACCGGCAATCCAAATCCCCAAGCACCAACTGGTCCCTGTCGTGGGTTTCCATGGCTCACGGACTCCTTGACCAGCTTGCCTCTTGACAGGGCGATCACCTTTCGGGACCTGGATGGGAAAAGCCTGAAAGGTCAAAAGGTCGCTTTTGGCCTACAGAGAAAACTTTCAGGTTTGACCTTGGCATGGCATCGTCCTTTTACATGGCTCACTGAAACTCCCTAAGAGGTTGATCCCGACAACCTAAGTAGGCCTTTGACAATGGGCCCTTGGTACCTTCTTCAGGAGGCACGCCCCTGAAAAACCATCCAAAGAGACCAAAGGCCCTCTGGGAATACTGGCTTCTTGGAGGCACTTCAAGTTTGCTCGCGTGCTTGTTGAGGTGTGGTAAGCTGGCAATCTCCGTATTTATTTGCGCACAAAAGGCCAGCCAGAATAAGTTAGAGTCAACCGTTGCTTGGTCCAATGTTGCTGAAGCTGTTTACTAACCCCTTCCAGCAGCAAGGAACTTCATACTAGGTCACAAAAAGGATAGAAACAACAAAAAACGGTCTTTGAAAAAAAAGAGAGAAAAGAACCGACCCTCTAATGACTCACTCAACCTTGAGCGGTGATATGAACAATTCCTGCGTGATTCTGCTTCCGATCCCTGGACTTCTAAGAGGTTCCATAGCTGCGAAGGTGGCAATTTGGTCCAGCAGCCATGGCCTGTCTCCGGGAATCCATCGCTACCTTCAGCTGTCTTGGGGTCCCAGCAAGAGCATCCGACGCCTGGCTGATGGCTGATGTTCGTGGTAGGGTCGGGTCACCAAAGCCGATTCCTTTGCTTGGTTGCTGCTACTCCCTCTGCAACAAGTTTGACTTTTGCAGGTTCAGTGGAAAACCTTTGATTTCTCCAAAAGGTAAAGTCTAAAGATCCACCCCAACAGCACTCAAGTTTGCAATCCGAAGGGGAGTTCCCCACGTTTTCGACGGAATGCTTGCGACACTTGCGCAGGTATGATTTTGAAGTGGGGACCGCTTCGTGGGCGTTCTTCAC